ATACACAAAAAGCGCAGAATATGACGCCTAACGTATAGAGTGGAGGAAGAAGAAAAAGAATTGGGGGGGAAAAAAACCTTTAGATTGTCTTTGTAATAGCATACTAAGTAAGTTAAGTTAGACTGCTAGATAGTACGGAAGCTGCCCTTGAACCTTTGGTAACCAGGAATCTAAAGCCTGCAATGGTAATAAGTACATACCTACCAATAATCACCTTAAATGTTAAAGAACTGAAGCACCATTCAAAAGACACAGAGTTAGAGAATGGATTAAAAATCAAGACTATATGCTGCCTACAAGAGACTCACTTTAAACCCAAAGACATATACAAACTAAAGGTGAAGAGATGGAAAAAGATATTTCATGCAGATATTTCATGCAAATAACAGGGAGAAAAAAAGCAGGAGTTGCAGTATTTGTATCAGACAAAACAGACTTCAAAACAAAGTCACAAGAGACAAAGAAGGACATTACATAATGATAAAGGGATCAGTCCAACAAGAGGATATAACCACTATAAATATCTATGCACTCAACATAGGAGGACCCAAATATATGCAACAAATACTAACAGAATTAAAAGGGGAAACAGAATGCAATGCACTCATTTAGGAGACACACCACTCATTCAGAGGACAGATCAACCAGACAAAAAATAAGTAAGGACAAAGAGGTACTGAACACACATTAGAAGAGATGGACCTAACAGACAGCTACAGAACACTCCACCCAAAAGAAACAGGATACAAATTCTCCTCAAGTGCATATGGAACATTTTCTAGAATAGATCATACTAGGCCACAAAAACAGCATCAGTAAATTCAAAAGGATTGGAATTGTACCAACCAGCTTCTCAGACCACAGTGGTATAATACCACAAATAAATTATGCAAAGAAAACAAAAAGCCCACAAACACATGGAGATTTAACAATATACTCCTAAATAATCAATGGATCAATGACCAAATAAAAGGAGAGATCAAGCAACATATGAAGACAAATGAAAACAACAACTCAACATGCCAACTTCTGTGGGATTTAGTGAAGGCAATTCTAAGAGGAAAGTATATAGCACTACAGGCTTATCTGAACAAAGAACAATCCTAAATGAACAGTATAACTCACAATTAATGAAAATAGAAAAAGAAGAAAAAAGTCAGCAGAAGGAGGGACATAATAAAGATCAGAGCAGAAATAAATAAAATTGAGAAGAATAAAATAACAGAAAGAATCAATGAAACCAGGAATTGATTTTTTGAGAAAATAAACAAAACAGATAAACTCCAGGCCAGACTTATCAAGAAAAAAGAGAGTCTAGAAACATAAACATAATCATAAATGAGAAAGGAAACATCAATGGACACCAGAGAAATACAAATTATTATTAGAGAATACTATGAATAATTATATGCTAACAAATTGAAAAACCTTGAGAAATGGACAGAAAAATACAACCTCCCAAGACTGATCAAGGAAGAAACAGAAAATCTGAACAAATTACCAGCATTGAAATTGAACTGGTAACCAAAAAACTACCTAAAAACAACACAACTCGACCAGATGGTTTCACCAGTGAATTTTATCAAACACTTAGAGAAAACATAATATTCTTCCTCCTTAAGGTTTTCCGAAAAGTAGACGAGGAGGGAATACTTCCAAACTCATTATATGGAGCCAGCATCACCCTAATACCAAAACCAGGCAAAGACACCACAAAAAAAGAAAATTACGGACCAATATTGCTGATGAACATAGCTGTAAAATACTCAACAAAACATTAGCAATCCAAATTCAAAAAAAAATCATCCATCATGACCAAGTGGGATTCATTCCAGGGATGTAAGGATAATACAATATTCAAAAATCTATCAACATCATACACCACATCAACAAAAATAAGGACAAAAATCATATGATCATCTCAATAGATGTTGAAAAAGGGGTATAGAGAGCACATACCTCAACATAATAAAGGCCATATACTACATAAGGAGCCATGGATATACAAAGGAGAAATAACAGCCTCTTCAACAATCAGTGTTTGCAAATTTGAACAGCTACATATAAGAGAATGAACCTGGATTATTGTCAAACTCCATATACAAAAATAAACTTGAAATGTATCAAAGACCTGAATGGAAGTCATGAAACCATAAAACTCTTAGAAGAAAATAGGCAAAAATCTCTTGAATATAAACATGAGCAACTTTTTCCTGAACACATCTCCTCAGACAAGGGAAACAAAAGCAAAAAATGAACAAATAGGACTACATCAAACTAAAAATTTCTGTACAGCAAAGGACACCATCAGCAGAACAAAAGGCATCCTACAGTATGGGAGAATATATTCATAAGTGATATATCCAATAAGGGGTTAACATCCAAAATACATAAAAAATTCACATGCCTCAACACCCAAAAAGAAATTAACCCAATTAAAAAATGGGTGGAGGATGTGAACAGACATTTCTCCAAAGAAGAAATTCAGATGGCCAACAGGCACATGAAAAGACACTCCACACTGCTAATCATCAGGGAAATGCAAATTAAAACCACAATGGTATATCACCTCACACCAGTTAGGATGGCCAGCATCCAAATGACAAGGAACAACAAATGCTGGTGAGGAAGCAGAGAAAGGGGAACCCTCCTACATTGTTGGTGGGAATGTAAATTAGTTCAACCATTGTTGAAAGCAATATGGACATCCGTCAGAGAACTAATAATAGAGATACCATTTGACCCAGGAATTCCACTCCTAGGAATTTACCCAAAGAAAATAGGATCAGAGATTCAAGAAGACATATGCACTCCTATGTTTACTGCAGCACTATTTACAATAGCCAATATATAAAAGCAACTTAAGTGTCCACCAATAGATGAATGACTAAAGAAGACGTGGTACATATACACAATGCAAAATTATTTTGCCACAAGAACAGAAATCCTACCATCTGCAACAGTTTGGATGGATCTGGTGTGTATTATGCTCAATGAAATAAGCCAGGTGGAGGAGAAAGGCAAGTACCAAATGATTTCACTGATCTGTGGAGTATAACAACAAAGCAAAACTGAAGGAACAAAACAACAGCATACTCTCAGACTCCAAGAAGGCACTAGTGGTTACAAAAGGGAAAGGGTGTGGGGAGCAAGGGAGAAGAGGATTAAGGGGTATTATTATTAGCACACATAATGTAGGGGGGTTACAGGGATGGCAGTATAGCAGAGAAGATAAGTAGTGACTCTATAGCATCTTACTATGCTGATGGAGAGTGACTGAAATGGGGTGTATTTGGGGGGGACTTGATAATATGGGTGGATGTAGTAAGCCCAATGTTGCTCATGTGAAACTTTCATAAGATTGCATATCAATGATACCTTGATAAAAAAATTTTTTTAAACATACATCATTTTAGAAACAGCAAATCAAAATCACTGTTTTTTCCTTTTTTAGTATCTTTTCCTTATTGAAGTATCATTGATACACAATCTTACACTGGTTTCAACTATACAACAGTGGTTCAACAGTTACCCATATTATAAAATTCTCACCCCCACTAGTGCAGCTACTATCTGTCAACATAGGAAGATGTTAGAGAATCATTGGCTATATTCCCCATGCTGTACTACTACTCCTGTGACCAACTTACATTATGATTAAGAATATTTGTGCCCTTTTATCCCCCTCACCCTCTCTACCCAGCCTGCCAACCCCTCCCCCATGGTGACCACCAGTCATTTCTCAGTGTCTATGAGTTCCACTACCATTTTTTTCATTTGTTTTATTTTGGTTTATATTCCCTAAATAAGTGAAACCATATGTTACTTGTCTTTCTCTGCCTGGCTTATTTTGCTTAGCATAATACCCACTAGGTCCATCCATGTTGTTGCAAATGGCAGGATTTCTTTTCTATGGTTAAATAATATTTCATTGCAAAATCACCATATTTTATTCCATGGACTAAATAATAATTATAAAGTACATCTATATTATATGTATTATTATAATTATATGATAAGATGTTAATAATTAATAGTTAATGTATATGAAATACTGTTATTTAGTATTAATTATTATAATCAGTCTTGACTAATTAATAACTGTTTAGGATCTTATTTTCTTAAAGTATTTTCCATCTCCCACTCAAATGAACGGGGTGGATGGCTACAAAGTGACTTAAAAAAAGAAAAGGTTCATTTCCTCAGAAAGATTTTGTGAGCAAACTAAAAGAATACACATTAATGGGAATCCTAAGAGGGAAATAAAAAGTCTGATGTTATTGTAAAAGTTACAATAGGTATTAGAAAAAAATATCTATCAATATGAAAGTAAGATAGGCTAAAATTCTTTTGTGTCTGCAATATACAATAATATTGTGTATTACTTTCTCTGCATCTCCTACATCTTAGCACATAATGGGTTAAGTCAAAAATTGTAAAGTTAAGTTAATGGCATCAATTCCAGACCATTTGTCTCTCTTCATACCAGTCCAACCCACAAGAATTGAAGGCAATTCCAATCTTATTTAGAGATTGCTATTTTTTAAACACGATAGAAAAACTGTAAAACTACACTATTAAAGAGCCTCTTGCAAGCTATATTTTTATATATGTATTTTCAAGTGAGTTAAAGAAAAAGTACCCATTTTCTTCCCTCTGGTTAATATGGAATTTATTTCATTCGAAACAGTATATTCATTGACATTTCCACAAATCATATGTATGATGCTTTGAAATTCTATGTTAAGATAGTAGGAAAAGACCCCAAATTTCTATCTTTTCCTCAAATTCGTGTTCCCACTTCTAATACCTAACACTAAAAAAGTTTTCAAGGTGATCTTTTAAAATACTTTTCCAAGCATGATCACTTCTGTCCCCCATAAATTAATAGTCAGTGCTAGCAAATTATAAGACAATCTGCCAACTCATATACAGAAAACCACATTATTATCAGTGCATATAGCAGGACTTCAAGGTATTAAATCTTTTACCCTATTTACCTTAGGAATCCCAGTTGATGTTGGAGGAAGAAAAGAGTGTTCACACTGCTCTAGGTACTTCTCTGAGTTTGTTTTCCCAAATAGGAGAGTAACCACAAAACCCCTGGGAAAAAAAATTAATTACAGATACAAAAACAAGGTTTTACTATAATTTAACACATCTATTACCAAATATATTTTTCTGATTTAACAGACAGCTATCATCACTAAACTCAGTTTGTGACTTTGTTAAAGAAAGGAACTGATAGATTTTGTTATGTTCTAAAACTTAAAACAACTATACATCTGTAAATTTACATATAATGCCTGTGAAAGTTTTCAACCAATATATGAGTAAAGAATCTCAGGCAATATTTTCAAACTTAAGGAAAATCAGCTCTCATTAAATAAGAAGGCTAGCTAATAAATAATAAAGGATAAAGACAAACAAGATCTAAATCCATAGCTAAGTCACACACTCCTATAATTTTGTTAACTAATTAACATGAGATATTAATGTAACTTGCCACTATGAAAATACAATAAACAAAACAAAGGCCATACAGGAAAAAAGTGATCCAATTTATGATTTGTTTAAAATAAACCTAGAATTAAAAAAAGAAATACACTCCAAAAGGTTATTTTTAAAACAATTACAGAATCAAGGTAAGATAAATATGGTTTAGAACTACTTTCCCATAACTACTGACTAAATGCTTTCAATAGTTCCTATATTTAAGATTTAATAAATAAATCTAAGCACTACTAAGCAGATAGGAAGTCCATAAAAGAAGAAAATTAAATTTTAATTTAGTAACCTTAAAAGGATTCAAAGACTGTAGTGACAAGAAGGGACAGTAAAATATTAAATATGGTCAGCCTCAACTACTGAAAGGGATTCTCAAAGTTATCTGTCATTGTACTGCTCTTCAGTACAGGCACCACAAATGCCGGGAGGAAAGTGAACACAGATAAAGTCAAATAATTCCATGTCATCAATTGTTTTTGCTTCTTTTTAAAAAGGCTGGCCTCAGAATTATCAGTAAATTTCACCTATCTCATGTTGTATCTCATATTATTACTAAGAATCAAAGTGTTCTTCTGAAAGCTTTATCTGGTTATAAGCACATTTACACATACAATTCTACAAGCACACTAATAGCTTCAGTCTTAGGTTTAAGTAAAAACAAGTGTTACAAATGATTGTATAACCAAACATAACAGAATGCCATTAAATAAAATGACCCATTATACAGTATCAGTAATAATAAATGACTCATTATACAGTACCAAAATAGTAACAACAAAAAGGACCTGAGTAGTTTTCTTTTCAGAAGTTTACTTTATATTAGGAAAGAAGGGATTAGATTTGACCATAAACAAAATATATACATTATCAACATTGTAGAGAGGTAACTATAGAATTTAACTCCCAGAAAAAGGTGGTTTCCATAGGTAAATTTATTAATTCCTCTCAAATTCGCATGCTAAGTAAAAAAACAAAAAACAAAAAACACACTTTTAAAAATGTATGCAATTTAGAAAACACACTAAAACTAAGACCATATTTAATTATATGAAATGCAATTACTTCACTTAAGATTAGTATTTAAAAACCTACTTTCACTCTTAAAATTCATAAGACATTAAACTATATGAAGTTACATTAAAGAAATGACAATCTTTCACAATTAGAGGCAAAATAAAAATATGTGACTCAGGAATTATGGTGCTCAGTAGACCAAAATTAAGTAAGCTGAGAATGCTTAATTAGTCCCCTGAGAAAAATGTGGGAGGCTTACTAGTATATAGATTGAAGTCCCCTAACTGTAACAATAAGTTTCACTGAGATCAACAGTCTGTAACAGCATCAGATCAATTTAGGATACAGCACGAACTAGAATTTCAAACCCTACCATGTGAACTCTTAATAATATTATCCAAAGAGGTTGTAGTGATCCTGCCATACCCTTCGATATTCTACCTTCTCTAAAATTCTTTACATAACTTTACACGTATCTAAAAATTTTTTAAAAATTATTCACTAATAAATTAGCAGACTCAAAAAGGGAACAGTTTTCAGTGACTTTGAAATTCAAGGACTCATAGTCCTTCTCCATTTCCTAAATTTTATATTGAGCAATTTCATCCTAGGGCTCCTACCTTAGTCTAAAAAGCTACAATTTCCTCCCTTGCTGAAGTATTGGGAAATATTCTGTAATCCTTCTTCACATTTGCCCAAGGTCTTATTCAATTAGTGAAATGGAAGAAATTATCTCCTTTTCAAAAAAGCATCTCTTCAAGACAATTTCCTTTCCAGTCACTAAAAGCAGCCATGACCCTGTAGAGAGGTACAACCATGCAAGCTCTGGCCCTAACTGGTGACAAAGAGAAGTGTAATTTAGGAAGCTCAAATGGCTGCAGATCTATAAAGTCTTCAATCATCTTTATAATCAATAAAGATATTCAGAATTTCATTTATCGACTCCTACATTTATTTCTGAATCGTTTTAATATGCAGTATCAGATCTAAGCAACAATGAATATACTAAATCTATAATAAAATGTGGTTTTATGAATAATCCTTGAGGTAGCTACTCAATTAATTCTCACTTGTCTAACAATCAATGGGTGTACTCTCTGTAAAATGGCTACAGATGACATTCAGACCCATAATGTAAAAGAGGTGACAGGTGGTAGATATATTCAGAAGCCACTCCTTTAGTGTCTTATACAATCTCTTATACCGCAGTTTATATATGCTATTTGATTCAGTTAAATCCTCTAAACTTATAGGCACCCTCCAAATTTTGGGGGGTCCCAAAAGACTTTTTTAAAAGAACTTAAAGGCAGTCAGTCCACAAATAATTACATAAACATATCACACACACATATATATAACAACAAAATGTTCATTTCAACTAAGCTACCTTAGACTATCTTATAAATAACAAGCACATCTCTCTCATCTGTACATTTTCTTGTATAGAAATATTATACTAAAATTACATTAAATACTATATATATTAAGTTATACTAAATCATAACTGAAACCCTTATGAAGGTTCATCAACTCAAGGTAAAGCATAAACACTATAAACCAAATAACCATACAGAGAAAACTGCAAGAGCAAGTGTTTGAATTTTATAGAACAAAATGAGAACATTCACTACTGGAATTATTACCAACTTCAATGGTTAGAGTCCAATTAATAAAACAATGTATTTTACTATCATCATCCCAACTTATTTATGCTATTATTATAATTGACAAGGAACTATTTCAATCTTAGAGGGAGAATAACACCAAAAGTAATAAAAAACCTTAAAGGCGTTTCAAATTATACAAAAAAGTTTACATCATTGGAAACTGAAATTTATTTTTGAAGAGGACTATCCATATTTCTACTTTAAATAATACCACTTTTATTTCTTTGGATATCCTGATTTTACATTTTTAACGTTGGTAAAAACAACGTGCAAAAATAGCATTCACAAATAAAGCATACTTCCACCTCTCACAGTTATTTTTCTTTTCTTATTGAGGACTCACGGTCATTTATTTCAATTTTGAACAGAACATGACATATGAATTGTAAAATGATCATTAACAATACTTACCCACCCACAAAGCAGAGGATATAAAATGCCAAATACAGTATTACAAAGGGTCCAAACGTTATAAGAGAAAGGACAATGCCAAGACTTCCCCATCCCCATATGGATAGACTGGTCTGAAATAAAGCAAAGTAAAAAAAATTGTTTTAATAAATAAATAAATAATTTTCCACATGAATTAGAAAAGAACCAACAAAACTTTAAAAGTTTTAAATTTTTCTTTTTAAAAATTTATGGTATTGTTTAAAATATTTACTTTTGAAAATGTTAAGTATACTCTTGGAAATTTATCTCTGAGAAACAATACACAGTATCTGTATCTAGCAAGAGATTCAATACATCAGCAATTATTTTTTAAAACTCTAATATAAAGGTACAAGAAATAGTTACACAAATTGTTGAATAATATACTTGTATGAGAAATAATAAAATATTTCTAAAAATATTTGTGTAGCAGAGCCAAGATGGCGGTATGAGTAGGACAGTGGGACTCTCCTCCCAAAAACATATATTTTTGAAAATACAACAAATACAACTATCCATAAAAGAGAGACCAGAAGACACAGGACAACAGCCAGACTACATCTACACCTTCGAGAACCCAGCGCCTGGGGAGAGGGGTAAGATACAAGCTGAAGCCCGGCGGGAACAGAGGCCCCTCAAACCAGCTCCCGGCGGGCGGGGAGGAGTCGGAGCGGGGAGGGAGAGGGAGGCCAGGACTGCTAAACACCCAGGCCTAGCCATCCGCACCAGGGCACAGACACAGAGCATGCATGGGGTGCTGGAAACAAGGGAAGGAGGACAGTAAGACCTCTGAGTGGGTCCTGCAGCCAGTGACTCTGGGACAAAGAAAAGCGAACGCTATTTGAAAGTCTTAAAGGGACAGGGACCCCACAACTGGACAGAATCATCCTGGGTCACAGTCCAGCAGCTGGAAATTCCAGGGAACTCCAGGCGCACTAACACCCTGGGCAACAGCTCTGAGAACCCTCACGGAGGTAAACAGCCAAACAGCGCCCCATCCATAAACCCTACGGGGCCCAGACATGGCAGAGTAGCAGCCTGAGACAGGGCACGCCCACAGCAAGGGAGCTTCCTCCATACCGGCGAGGCAAGATACAGAGACCCAGTCTACACACAATTGCCCAACACAAGCCACTAGGGGTCGGACTTGTCCCAGTACAAAAAAGGCCAGAAGCAAGTGGAAAAAGGCTTGGTTCTCCCACCTGATGAGTCAATAGCACACCACTGAACCTATCAACATGAAAAGGCAAAAAAATTTGATCCAGACAAGACTAATCCAGACAGCTTTGACATCTTCTACATCTTCCCCTGAGAAGAAACTGGGGAGATAGACTTAACCAATCTTCCTGAAAAAGAATTCAAAACAAAAGTCATAACCATACTGATGGACTTGCAGAGAAATATGCAAGAACTAAGGAGGGAGAATACAAAAATAAAACAAGCTCTGGAAGGACTTCAAAGCAGTATGGACAAGATGCAAGAGACCATTAATGCACTAGAAAACAGAGGACAGGAATGCAAAGACGCTGATGCAGAGAGAAATAAAAGGATCTCCAGGAATGAAAGAATATTAAGAGAACTGTGTGATCAATCGAAACAGAACAAATTCCGCATTATACGGGTACCAAAAGAAGAAGAGAGAGAAAAAGGAATAGAAAGTGTCTTTGATGAAATAATTGCTGAAAACTTCCACAAACTAGGGGAGGAAACAGCCCCTCAGACCATAGATGTACACAGAACTCCCATGACAAGGGATCCAAGGTGGGCGACACCAAGATACATAATAATAAAAATGGCAAAGAACAAAGACAAGGACAGAGTATTAAAGGCAGACAGAGAGAAAAAAAGGTTACCTACAAAGGAAAAACCATCAGGCTATCATCAAACTTCTGAACAGAAAACTTACAGGCCAGAAAAGAATGGCATGATATACTTAATGCACTGAAACAGAAGGGCCTCAAAATAAGAATTCTGTATCCAGCATGATTATATTTAAATATGAAAGAGGGATTAAACAATTCCCAGACAAGCAAAAGTTGAGGGAATTTACCTCCCACAAACCACCTCTACAGGGCATCTTACAGGGACTGCTCTAGATGGGAGCACTCCTAAAAAAAAAAAAAACAGAACAAAACACCCAACATGAAGAATGGAGCAGGAGGAATAAGAAGGGAGACAAATAATCATCAGACCATGTTGATAATAGCTCAATAAGCGAGTTAAGTTAGACAGTAAGATAGTAAGGAAGTTAACCTCAAACAGTTGGTAACCACAAACTTAAAGCCTGCTATGGCAATAAGTATATACCTTTCAATAATCACACTAAATGTAAATGGACTGAATACACCAATCAAAAGACACAGAGAAATAGAATGGATTAAAAAAGCAAGACCCATCCATATGCTGCTTTCAAGAGACTCACCTCAAACCCAAAGATATGCACAAACTTAAAGACAAGGGATGGAAAAAGATATTTCATGCAAACAACAGAGAGAAAAAAGCAGGTGTTGCAATACAAGTATCAGACAAAATAGACTTCAAAAAAAAGAAAGTAACAAAAGATAAAGAAGGACATTACATAATGATAAAGGGCTCAGTCTAACAAGAGGATATAACCATTATAAATATATATGCGCCCAATAGAGGAGCACCAACATATGTGAAACAAATACTAACAGAATTAAAGGAGGAAATAGAATGCAATGCATTCATTGTGGGGAACTTCAACACACCACTCACTCCAAAGGACAGATCCACCAGACAGAAAATAAGTAAGGATACACAGGCACAGAACAACATACTAGAACAGATGGACCTAATAGACATCTACAGAACTCTACATCCAAAAGCAACAGGATACACATTCTTCTCAAGTGCACATGGAACATTCTCCAGAATAGAAAACATACTAGGTCACAAAAAGAGCCTCAGTAACTTCCAAAAGATTGAAATCCTACCAACCAACTTTTCAGACCACAAAGGCACAAAATGAGAAATAAACTGTACAAAGAAAGCAAAAGGGCTCACAAACACATGGAGGCTTAACAGCACACTCCTAAATAATCAATGGATCAATGACCAAATCAAAATGGAGATCCAGCAATATATGGGAACAAATAACAACAACAACACAAAGCCCCAAATACTGTGGGATACAGCAAAAGCAGTCATAAGAGGAAAGTATATAGCAATACAGGCATATTTAAAGAAGGAAGTACAATCCCAAATGAATGGTCTAATGTCACAATTATCAAAATTGGAAAAAGAAGATCAAAAGAGGCCGAAGGTCAGCAGAAGGAGGGACACAATAAAGATCAGACAAGAAATAAATAAAATTGAGAAGAATAAAACAATAGCAAAAATCAATGAAACCAAGAGCTGGTTCTTCGAGAAAATAGATAAGCCTCTAGCCAGACCTTTTAAGAGGAAAAGAGAGTCAACACAAATCAACAGTATAAGAAATGAGAAAGGAAAAATCATGACAGACACCACAGAAATACAAAGAATTATTAGTGAGTACTATAAAAACCTATATGCCAACAAGCTGGGAAACCTAGGAGAAATGGACAACTTCCTAGAAAAATACAACCTTCCAAGACTGACCCAGAAAGAAACATAAAATCTAAACAGACCAATTACCAGCAACGAAATTGAAGTGGTAATCAAAAAACTACCAAAGAACAAAACCCCCGGGCCAGATGGATTCACCTCGGAATTTTATCAGACATACAGGGAAGACATAATACCCATTCTCCTTAAAGTTTTCCAAAAAATAGAAGAGGAGGGAATACTCCCAAACTCATTCTATGAAGCTAACATCACCCTAATACCAAAACCAGGCAAAGACCCCACCAAAAAAGAAAACTACAGACCAATATCCCTGATGAACGTAGATGCAAAAATACTCAACAAAATATTAGCAAACCGAATTCAAAAATACA